CCTTTTAAGTATAATGAAATAATGTAGTGCGTTTTTCTCCATTAAAAACATCTTGATTCTAATGGACAGAATAAATGAGGACATGACGAGGAATAGACATGAATTTACTAAGAAGTGAATGAGAGGCCAGGTGTGGTAGCTCACGCCTATAATCCCAGCACTTTGGGAGGCCAAGACAGGTGGATCACCTGAGGTTGGGAGTTCGAGACCAGCCTGGCCAACATGGGGAAACTCCGTCTTTATTAAACATACAAAAATTAGCTGGGTGTGGTGGCGCATGCCTGTAATTCCAGCTACTTGGGAGGCTGAGACAGGAGAATTGCTTGAACCCAGGAGGCAGAGGTTGCAGTGAGCCAAGATCGTGCCACTGCACTGCAGTCTGGGCAACAAAGTGACACTCCAGCTCAAAAAAAAAAAAAAAAAAAGTGAATGAACTATTATTTGAAAAAGCCAGAGTAAATTTTCTCTTTTCTTTGACTTTGAACACCATATTCTAAGATAAAACGTGGTATGAGGTCCTCAAGGTCCTATACAAATTTATCTGCCTTTATATACAGATTTCAAAGTACTAAGTTTGTCCTAAATTCTTAAGATTTGAAAAAACAAAGTGAAAAATCAAGCAAATATCAGCTCTAGTGATCCCAACAAATGAAAACAAATACTGCAGATTTTGAACTCGTTTTCTTAATAATTATTTGGTTGGTTTCTATTAGTTTTATGACAACCCTCTGTTGGCTTCAATTTCAGTATCTATAAAATAACATTGGAGACAGAGCTATCTCAAACTTTTTATGACTTAAAGAATTTCTTAAGTGCAAGATAAGCACATAGCTATCATTAACAGATAAGCCTGGTTTGATTCACTCAATTATTTATTTAGTGTCATCCTTGTTCCAGAGAGGATATGAGGTGACTTATTTGAGGTACAGCCAATATATATAATCCTATTGGTTCCCAGAGGTGTTGCCACACTACATGCATAAATCACCACGCAAAATAGCACAAGCACATATAAAACCTGCAACAGAGGAAAGTAGCATGTTAAGTCCATGTTATTCCAGGTAAGAAAGTTCTGATTAATGATACTAGAAATGTCCCAAAAGTTTATATCACAAAATTAGCAAAAACTGCCCTATGACTTCACATTTCTTTGTCATATTATCAGCCTAGAGTTCCCCACAAAACTACAACCTTCCTGAATTCCAAAATGAGACATTAGTTTGGAACTGACTTAGAAGCAAAAATCTGAATTCTAGATTGCCATGTTTTCCTTGGATATTCCCCATTCTAGCATTAGGAAAGTGATTGAGATCAGGAAATCATAAAGATCACAGCCCAAGGAACGTAGACACACAAAATAACAAAGCAAGTCAAAGCTAATTTTGAAACACTGCAATCCAATCAATCACAAAAGTACTTTTAGTTTCCTAAAAGTAGTAGTGGAGTTTTTAATTATTAAAGGTAAAAAACAGATCCATGTCTAAGTCCCAAAATTAATGCTTTATCCTCATTTGGTCCACAACAGTTGTTTGCTATAGTGGAGAGAGGACACTTTCAGTTCTATTGCTCAGGAGGGATTAACTTGTTATAAAAACAAAAGAAGTAATTGAATATAAATATGTAACTTCTGACTCTATCATCAATAAGACAAACGTATACCCCTAGAAAAATGAAGTGCTTAGTGCTTCTCAGCCAAAATTACAATGCCACGTCCTTGGGTGCTATCTGACTTAAGAGCACCTTCATTCTGAAAAGATTACGGTGGCCATCCCTACCATGTAGCAAAGAATGCAAACAAAATATTAAGTCACAAATAGTTTAGAGAAATACCATAAAGACGATTTAAAAGCTCTATAAAAATGACAAAAACTACTTAAATATTTTATAAAATAATATCAAACATCCTCCTTTTGAAAATCTGTTGCTTTTATTGCTTGTGCTTAAATATTAATTCCAATAGAGAAACTCAAATTAAGAACTACAGGTCTATTTGCAGATGTCCATACTACAGTTTGAAGAGCTTTAGGGTCACCCTTCAGAAGTTCTAAATCAGCAAGGAAGTAGTCTCAAAGTCAGACAGTCAAGTCTGATGCTGGAGAAAAGCCAAGCCAGAGGGAGTGTTAAGTTTGTGGGTAGGCATATGCATCTGTACTGACAGGATGACTGGATGGGATTCCACCTTCATGTCAACAGTGGGAAACAGATTTCAAAGAGCCTGTATCTCCAAAAGGGCTTGAATTTTTGCCATCTCTTCCCAAGCTGTTGGGAAATAAACACAGGAATAGATGGTAGCAATTTCCATGGGTTGCACATCTCCCAGTAGAAAACGACCAGTGATAAGAAAGTGCTGGCAATCAAGGTGATTTTTTCCAAATGCTTAGCTTGTCTTTGGTATAACAATTCAAGCAGAAAAGTGATTTGCTTGTTTCATTGCTTGTGGCGGTAAATTCAATTTTTTCATATATGGATTGTGCCTTCTTAGGATACTGAGTCTCAATTTTGGAGATTTCACATTTCGGCCAAGGCCAGAATATAGAGACTAAAAGAGCTTCCTAAAGATAAATTATGTCCAAAATACCAAAGACACTTATAAAATAAGCCTTTAATAGAAAGCATAATTTATTCCAATTGACTACAATATAAAAAACTTATTAAGTTTCAATTGTTCACATTTAAAATTGGAAAACATTTTATATTCTAAGTTTTAAATTTATTTCAAAGTATTACAAAACAAACTCTTAAGTTCATAAAGAATTCTTTAATAATCTCTATGGTTAAGTCCAAAATAGAATTCCTTAATAAACTTTATGGTTCAGTTCATAGTATAATAATACACAAAGCATATTAAAATGAATATTTTACATTCTGGATAATCAAATATAATTCTAATTATATTCCCTTTAAGTTGGGTATTATGTGTATTTTATTGCATTCTGGATCTAAAAACTAGAATCAATATACGATTTACATATGTACAATTTTCAACTAATTGTAAAATGTATTTATCTGTAGCAACCCAGTTTCAAGACAGAGTCTCAGAAAGGTTTGAGTTCCGGGAAAAATTTTACAGGGAAAAAAAATGAGAGGTTTTCTACCTTGATTGTTTCTATTTGCCATGTTATATGCAAACAGAGAAGTAAAGAGATGCTACACTGAATGTAGCAAAAAGGAAATTTTAACCAACTTCTTGACAAATATTGAAAAATCAAATTCTGATGTTACATAACTATTCAAGGATTATTTATTCAGCTCAAGTAGAGAACAGTTTTATGTGAGTATAATTCCTTCTGTACAAGTTCAGAAATGTACTTCAAACAATAACTGCTATATTAGTTTCAAATCAAGCTTTCATTCAAATAAAAAAAAGCATATCTTTTGTTTAGTCCGACTTATGATAGCTATCAACTATTTTTCTACCTAAGGTTCTCCTCCTGTCCCACTTCATTCCTTATAAGGTGAGTAAGGAAACTTTTTAAAAATGTTTGGATAAGATTCATTTTGGCTATCATGCAACACAGAGAAAATATCAGTTAATTAAAAAGAAAAACGTCTTTGTAAAGTTAAAAGACCCTATACGTTAATGAAATATTCGGAACTCCAGAAAATTTCTGATGAAATTTACATATTCTAAATAGTCTTTTTGGAAAGATAACTAAAATAGTATCAATCCTCCATTCACACACAACAAAATAAAATAAATTTAAATGAGATTATGTTTTAAATTATTCAGTTTTTTAATATTTTGCTCTCAATGTATAATATTTAAATGATTTATGAAGAAAATGAAAAATCAACTTAGTATATACATTTTTAAACTTGTGTTTAATCAGAACTTTTTATTTTTGAAGTATATACTACTTTTGACAATAATATGTTTTTATACAATACAGAAAAAATAAGTATTTGGAAAAACATGCTTTTTAAAAAATAGAACAAAATTAGACAGGACTCAGAAAAATACAGTCTGTTTTGATTTTGCATTTTTACTTGTATACCTACTTGCTGTATCTTTCTAAAATCATTTTAAGACAAAATTGGCCTGATATACTTTCTTGCAATTTTGGGGTTCTTCTGGTATTTCAGCCTCACATTAACAAAGCACTACTTCAAGAAGGATCAAACAATGGAAGACCTAAAAACTAAGTCTACCTGAGGAAAGTTTTTGTACTACCTCCTATAATCTTTTTGGTTTATTTTCAATGAAAAGACAGATGAGATTGTTTGGGAGGTGGAGGGCATGTGTAGCTGGTTCAGGGTTTTTGTGTTTGGTTTTCTTTTTGTTAGTTTATTCTTAGAACACTCTTTTACTAAAGTCGCCAATATAATTCACATTTTTCTAATAATGAAAAACTCCTTGTGCTAGTTTTATCTCATGAGAAAAACCACTGCTCCTAAATCAAAAGCAAAATGCTATATGTTCAGAGCTATATGAAGACAGCCAAGTTATAAAAGCCCATTTTCAGATCTGGAACAACTTCTGAAAACAAAGGGGGTATTTGGGATACTTTATACTAAAGAAAAAAAATATCCTACTTTCATTATTTCCTGATTCTGGAGATCCAATAAAAACCTTATGGAATAGAAAGTCTTGCAAAAATCCTTCAGTGAAAACAGAACCAACCACTCCCACCCCCAACAACTCCCTTTTAAAGTAATAAGAGTTGATAAACTATAATTAGAATATGAAAATTTTTACATTTTCTTATGAGTCTTATAAGAAAGATTAAAAGGTTCATTGGCTTTTCAAACAGCAATTATCTTAGCACCTAAAAGAAACACCAACAAAAATTAAAACATTGGTGATTAGGTAAATACTGATGACATCAATATAAAAGTATTTGCCACTGCAAAGGGCCTGAGCACAATCACATCTTGTCCCGATCATACCTGCCTGCCAGAACAAAATAGGCGGCTGACCAATTATGGGGTGTTTATCTATACAGTGGTACCTTTGTTCTCCAACAATGTCAGATTGCAAATGTCCTGGAACACATATTTACCTGGAGGATTCTTGGCAGGATCATTGTGGCTTGGACTTCCTGATTGTCCAGAATCTGTAAAGAAATCACAGAAAATGTTTTCTTTTTAATTTGTTTTGAAAGAATTTCACAATCCTCAAACAACTTGAAAAAAAAAAATTAAGGTATATAAATGAAGTTGAGTGCTTAAATACAATATACTTTCCCAAGCCTTTTGATAGAAACATTTTAGTCATCAAAGTAAATGAAAGTGTATACATATTTCTGTGTCAAAATAAAAACACAAGTATTGATCTACAAATTTCTTGGGCTAGGGCAAGGTTTTTCTGAAACAAAAGATCTGGCTACAAAGCCACTGAAGATGGTTTGAAGGTTAGGCAAATACTGAGGCCTGTCAGTAGCAATATGAAATAAAGCAGATATATTCTCTTAAAAACGCAATCTGAGTGTAATTAAACATGCATTTAAAAGCCTGAAAGTATGTTTTTATTCAATGATTAAAATACACAGAAATGAGAGTCCGCTCTTCCAGGATTTCACACATAAGTACAAATACCCACTCCAATAATCCCCCAACCTACTGGATCCAGGCCCAGATCTGCCTACATCCCATAATAGCAATCGATTTGCAAACACCAAGGAAAGCATAAATTACTAGGTAGAAACCAACATGGCTTTGTGGAGAGCAAATGGTTGGATCAATTTAATTTCCATCCGTGGCAGATGGACAGACTTTGCAGATAAGGAGGAAGAGATCAATGTTATATATCTGAATTTCCTACCCCACATTATTCCTCATCAATGCTAAAGAAAGAAACATGGAAGATACATGACTGTTAGGCAACATGGCTTTCCGGACTGATCTGACACTGTTGTGTTTTGCTCACTCCTCTGCCCTCTTGTCCCCTCTGCATTTATCTGTGTCATTTGCCCCATGTTATTATACACTTACTTGCAAGTTGCTTTGTAATCTTCTTTTATCGGTTCTAGCATTTAAGTTTTGTCTCCCCAACTAAATTGCATGCTCCTAAGCAGAGGCAGAGATTCTGTCTACTTCTTTTGTGTCTTCCTCAGTGTGCTGTTCATGGCTGTGAATGCACTAGGCTTGCAGTAAACGCGGGAGGAATGGATGGCTCGGCTCCAGCAGCCTCTGCTTGCCTACAAAAGGCAATTTTGAACTTGATAATGAATTTCAACAAAATTTCATAGGTGGGGCACAGATGACGGCTCTGTCATGGACTGCCATATGCTGACAAGTCTCTTCCCCAAAACCTTGCCATTATACTTGAGCCAGGAAAGTGACTTGGTTAAGCATGAAAATCATATGCTGGTTTTTTTCATCGGGGTTATTCTGTCCTTCCAGGTAAGTGATTAACATACCGAAATTGCTGCTTCTACTATTACATGCAAGAACATCCTGTTAGTTTCTTCTCATATAAAACCTGGTTATTTATTTCTGCCCTTTGCCTCATGCCTGTTAGCTTAGATTTAATGCTGAGATCAGAATTTTACCCCTTCATCCCATTTCCTTAATTGTCTTTTTGGTTTTATTCTAGAAAAGATTTCATGAAATCTTAGCAAATATATTTAGTGATTCTCACATTTTCCTCCAATTGTTTCCTGATTTTCCAAAATGAAAGTAAAGAAACTAGAAACGACCACTCTTCATCTGGCTCGAGTCTCCTGAAGGCAGCCAGAGAGCTGAGAACGCTCTAAAAATCTCTCTCATCTCCCATGAAGTCTTCTATTTAACTTTTTCTGAAATCAAGGCAAGACTCCATGACTTATAACTTAGGAAATCAATCTTCTTCGTTCGACACTCCTATAAAAAATGGTGCAATATGGGCCACTTACCAGGCCTGCAGTATGATAGCTACATAAAAATGATAAATCATAACTTTTTGCTATAGCATCCGTTCTTTTTTTTTGCCTTGAGTTCTTCTGACAAATATCTCTCAGCATTGATACTACATTCCAGTTTAATTTCTCAAGCAATTCCAACATTTTTTAGGAATTCCTACTTATGTATAATACACCCAGTGACCAGAATCTCCCTTTGTTTAATTTTCCCTCTAAAGCTATCTCACTGTTTTGAAGGTCTAGACATGCACCCCTCAAGGTGGCTAATGCCAAGCTTGTGATGACACCTGAGATAGCTTCATTTCAAGAGTTGTAGATTCTCTGGCATAAGCCTTAGCATGTTTAGTTACAGCAACTTCAAAACTGTGCCACAAAACTCTTTTCCATCGTCTGCTGCTAAAATTTGGGTCCAGCAGGAAAAGAATGAAGGTCTCTTCCATTCGTAAGAAAATACTCAGCTAGAACAATGGCATCCCCTGTTACCACAACATCCCACTTAGGAAACTCTATTCTTTTCTGCTATAAATTACTTTTCCTTCTCATTTCCAACGATTGCAGACCAACTTCTTCAATTGAAAAAATTGAACTTACTAAGAAAACCACAAGCATTTGAGGAAACGCTGAAGTAGACCCTAAATTGGAGGCACACATTTGCTTTTTGTAACAATTCCACTTTCTAAAATGATCTGGTGTTTGCTGGCACACAATGACAGACTTTCCTTCATATACCAAAGCCCGTGCCCTCTCATGAAATAAAACAGTGTATACTATGTCCCAGAAACACAGGAGAGAGCCCTCTCAGTGGGCAAGTGATACAGCATTTATTTTCAGACTGTAAATTCTAACACTATAGTCTACTTTTAACTCTTATGTCACCGTATATCGGTCACTTAATTCCAACTGCTGGAAAAGGAAGTAACCAGGGAGTCGTGGTTGGCAGAGAAACCAAAAATGAACTGTTATTGTGGTTGACTTCAGAGAAGGAATTATTCAGACCACATCTAAACCCCTTCCAATTCACCACCTAGGTCAAATTACTCTATACCCAAAGGTTTTATTTAACCACTTCCATCACTTTACTCAATATCCCCCACCTCTCGCTTTCTCACTCTCTCGCTCTTTCTCTCTCTCTCTCTCTCTCTCTCTCTCTGTGTGTGTGTGTGTGTGTGTGTGTGTGTGTGTGTGTGTTTACTTAACATGTCATAGTGAAGCCTGGCTCTGTGCCTCACTAGTGGTGTGATCTCGTACAAACTTACTTACTCTTAGAGTCTTGGTGTCTTGATCTTGAAAACTGCAATAATAGTATCTACCTTGTAAAATCATTGCAAGATTATATCATATTAAGCACCAAAAGCATTGGGCCAGACACATTCTACGTGATCAGTAAATACAAGATATTCATATTAAGCACAGGGCCACATTAAAAATGATTACTATATTTAATGGTTTAAACATATTAAAATGAATAAAAAATATTAATCATTTTTAATGTGGCTCTACGCTTAATAATAAACTTTTAGAAAGAAAGGGAGAAAAGGGACATAACTAAGTTCTGTCCATCCCAACACATGCATCTAAAAATGACTGGTGCATTGACTAAGCATGGAGAAGTGTGTGCCCACCTCAGAATCAGCATAAATGCTTTCACCTCTCACTCCCCAAAAGGTGCAAGTCCACTGCTTCTTCAAGGCTCTTAGGAGCTGTCATGCTCAAAAGGCAGCAGATACCAGCCAGCTGATGAAAACTGCCTTTCAGAAGGCTCAAGACTTTGAGGAACAAGGCTGGTACAGTTGTGAGCTGCCCAGCATACTGGGGCTGGTGTCTGGAAATTTTTTTTTTTTTTTTTTTTTTTTTTTGGAGACAGAGTCTCGCTCCGTTGCCCAAGCTGGAGTGCAGTAGCATGATCTCGGCTCAGTGCAACCTCCACCTCCTCGGTTCAAGCAATTCTTGTGCTTCAGCCTCCCAAGTAGCTAGGACTACAGGCACATACCACCACACCCAGCTAATTTTTGCATTTTTTGGTAGAGATGGGATTTCACCATGTTGGCCAGGCTGATGTCCAACTCCTGGCCTGAAGTGATCTGCCCACTTCAGCCTCCCAAAGTGCTGGGATTACAGGCATGAGCCACCATGTCCAGTTTAGTGTCTGGAAAGGTTCTGATGCAGTAGAGAAAAAGAGAGGAGCTTTTGAAGGCAAACAACCAAAACCAGTGCTCCCTCACTCCCTTCCACCTCTCATTTTCTCTTCCTTGATCTCAGTCTCTATTTTCTACATTTTTGTGTTGTCTTTTTCTGACTTGACTGGACATAACGTTGAACTAAAATAGATTTTGTATTACATACTTATGAAAGTTTCATGTTCCCCATTCTTTAAGTGTGAATTAAACATATATTTATTCTTCTGAAAAAAAAAAAAAGGTAATGAAGTCATTTCTAAATTACTATCTTTTAAACTCAATCAGTTTCTTCTTCTCCAGGTTAAAGCTTCTCCAGGAACAAGAAAAGGTTCACACGCAGAACCCGTACCAAGTTTTCAAACATTTCACCCACTCCTTTTTTAAAAAGCAGTCAATCTCTCTTCTAGTATCTAAGCTTTTCCTAAACAGTGAGCAGTTTTTCCTAATGATCCGATTTTATGGAAGACCCTAGGATACATAAGTGATCAAATGGCTTGTCCAGAGTTATACAGCAACTATTAAACATATGTTCTTTATATGGGCAGCCTATTCACGCACACTACTTCTTGAATTGTTATGATGCAATCCTAAAATCATGCAAAGCCAAGTGATTTTTCAGTAGATTAAATATTTCTGGGAAACTTACCTTCCCCTAACTTCCCTCCCCCTTCCTGCCATTAGCCAATACATTTAAAATCTTTTTCAGAATTTAAAAAAAACTTTTAGCTATTTTCCATGTCTAAGTTGGAAGTAATTATTAGTATCACTGAAGTCTATACACTTGTTTAGTATACATCAGTATCACTGAAGTCTATACACTGTCGAAGTTTTAAAGAGAGGCCAATTCTATAAATCCAATTTAGTTTGGATTGTCTCCATTAAGCAAAGGAAATTCTAATGTTTCATGGACAATCTGGTAGAAGCCCTATAAGATTTGTGTTAAATATATATGACAATAAATAAATAATAGCCTGTAAAGTATTTGTTACTGAGCACTACCATTCTGGAGTAGATACACTGCAACTATCTGAGGTAGAT